TATCTGCAACACAAAATTTAGAAACAGAAACAATAAAAATTAAACAATTTTAAACACAATAGAAACGTATATCATCCTCAAACGAATATTTAATTTTTTGTTTATTTTCATTTACATTTTAAGTAAAAATATGAAAAATTTTATTTTGAACTTGGAAAATTTCCAAAATGTTTTGTAATTATTGCTAATTTACTATATAATTACACTGTTATCAAACTGATAATACTTAATTGTAATATTTCAAAAGAAAAACTTATATAAGCAGATAAAAACAAGGAAAATTTACAAGGACAGTCTCTATTCTAACGTGAAAATGTACATCCAATCAATAATAAATATAGATGCATCATTAATTCATTTTATTTTAATATTGCTAGAAAGATAAATTATATTCTAAGATTAATTGATCTAACATCTGCAACATTTTTATTGGATAGATTAATATTTGAATATTTAAAAAAATAATACAATATATTATAAGCTAAATTAATAAATAGTGCAAGAGACTTTTTTATCTTATTCTAAAGATTATCTAATACTATTAATAGCCTATAATATATACTATACATTCTTTGTTATTAGTTTTAATAAAAGCTTAATACTTATTAAATTAAATTTGAAATTTTATGTCATAATTTTTTTGAGCAGTATATATTCTTTTTATGTTAATGCTTTATCGCTATATTATCATATGAATGGTTTAATCGCTAGCCAGAACTTACGCAGATATGAGTTACCGAACTCGAGTTTAATAGAAAAGGAAGTACATCATGCGAGTTTGCGAATCGCGAGAACAATGTCGTATTGTATTGTATTTTTATATTACATACGTGTCTATGTGTCCGTAGAGACAACTGGACGGTGGTATTTTGGATCTCATTGGTGGAATCTTCCAGGGTAACAACGAGATAAAGCTCGGCCAGAGAGAAGGCTTCAGCAAGAAAGATATTCTGAAGATCAGGAGGATGTACAGATGCGGTCAGCGTACCGGCATAGTCGGTTACGCCGACGACCAGTACTGATGAATGAACAGTTGGCGGTTTAGCAACGTCTTCGGAATGCGTTAATACAAGAGAAATAAAACGAAGAGAAATAATATAAGAGAAATACACATCAACATCCGTGTCGGCTCGCAAAGGCATAATTGAGCTATTTATGATTATTCCTTATACGAGCCTCAATTTCTTCAAGTTAAATTTAGAAGTAAAACGATTCTTGATTGGAGCTAATTAGTAAGAATTTTCGTGTAATAAAGTAATGAGAACATCTAGTCTTATATGCAAACGGTAGCGATTGTGTCTTTTCAAAAGACAATACAGCGAGTGTAAACAGTATTATTATAAGTTATATAATATATATAATAATTATATAATATATATAATATAATCATTATCACGTATTTTAATATATTTTATGAATGTACCTGTAATCTTATAATCTGTATCTTAAGTTATATATTATAATACACAAATGCATCACCTCTACATCTTTCTTGTTGAATGTTTTATCTTTCTCGTTAACCAAATATTGATTGAGTATCAATATTTTTAAATTAAAAAATGGAGGAAACGTACGTATTGGAAATTTTCGATCGATAAGAAAAATATTACGTAAGTCCCATTCACGAAACATATTCAAACAGATGGAATATTTTGTGATAAAGTATTTATTATATTGATATACGTCATCATACGAGAATAATTTATAAATTACATTAAAAAGACATAACGTATTTTTATAATACAGTAACAAAGTTTCTTACGGGATTAATTTTTAATAGAAATACGATAATATTGGATGATTAATAAAAAATTATCGCGTTCAATTTTGAGAAAAAAAAAATTAATGTCGTGCTTGACTTCTCATGTGCGTTCCAAGCAACATAAACATAATAAGACGCAAACTTTATCTCTTTCACCTGTTCAAACTTTTAAAATTGTTCAAGATATTGTAATAAAAAGAAAGTTATTTAAATTATACTGCATTTACTTTGTTTGAATATTATACTGTGCGTATAATATACCCTACAACTTTTTATATTATAATATATGTTATACATTTTTATGTTAGAATAGAAACTGTCCTTGTAAATTTTCCTTGTTTTTATCTGCTTATATAAGTTTTTCTTTTGAAATACTGCACTTAAGTATCAGTTTGATAAAAGTGTAATTATATAACAAATTAGCAATAATTAAAAAATATTTCGCAACTTTTTCAAGGTTCGAAATAATGCATATGACGATAACGTACACAATAGTTCTACTTAAGTAAGTTTTTCTGTTGCAATACTGTAATTAAATGATAAAAGTGATAAAAGTGTAATTTTATAGCAAATTAGCGATAACGAAAAAACGTTTTGGAATTTTTCCGTGTTTGGAAATACATTGAAATGCATATAACGTACAGTTCTCGTATTTTTCGTTTGTAAAAAATTTTTATTAAAAATGTATTACTGTAAAATACTTTATTATATTGATTATTACTTAATAATTGATATTATATAATGATAACTATCTTCTTAAAAAGTCATTATTGTACAGTAAAAATACAGCTTCGTTTATATTAACTATTTTATATGCTATACAAAAGAGTTTTTATATACCTTTAATTTTATGCACTTATAAATACTTATAAATATTAAATTCTTAAACAAAAATCTGAATGATGCACAAATGTTTAGATATTCGATACGCACAATGAAATATATTTTTTATAATTTCATCTAGAAGGATCAAGGAAGTAACAAAATTAAGTATACAACATTAAAGCGATGAAGTAGTTTAATAAAAAACTCGACTCGAATCAAGTGAACTCTTATTGACAAAATCATTCAAACGTGTAACATTTATACATGTATAAAAAAGGATATAAAAAAAGAAGGAATTGTATACTGATCGTGATCGTCAGCAAGTTTGTATTACTCAATGACATCCCCGATACGCCATTCATATTGGCTACTTAAAATTGACGTAGAAGGGGCAGGAAAAATTTTGAGATGAAATATATAAAAAGGGAAACGCGCGATCCGAAAACGGCTGTATTAATTACTGTATTCGCTTTTGTCGTTTACTATTATTAAATTAGTAACTCTCTGTAATTTGATTTAACATCGATCATGTTGTGTCGATCGTTAACGTGGACGCTTGTCGTCCTTACAACACTTGTGTCGGCGGTGCCAATCTCTGACGTAGATAATGCCATAGAATTGGCTCTGAGGATTCCAGACAATGAATCAGGAATTAAGGTATCGGAATGGACCGTAGACATGAACATGAATCCTGAAGAATTGGGCAACTACTTGGAGGGCGACATAATGGTCGCGGAAGGCACCGCACGAAACGGTGCGAAAGACGAAAAGCTCCGTTGGCCTAATGGCGTTATTCCATACATAATTAAGGGTAACTTCAGTAAGTATCGTGAAAGTTCAGCCACATATTCTGTACTGCAATTTGTTCACTAAAATCAATTATTCCGTAATATATTATATTTACGGAAGAGATCAAATTTAATTTAATAAGTATTAAGCTTTTATTAAATTTAATAACAAAGAATGTATAGTATACTATAAGATATTACTAGTATTAGATAATTTTTAGAACAGTTTCTTGCACTATTTATTAATTTAGCTTATAATATATTGTATTACTTTTTAAAATATTCAAATATCAATCCATCCAATAAAAATGTTGCAGATGTTAGATCAATTAATCTTAGAATATAATTTATATCTTTCTAGCAATATTAAAATAAAATAATGTATTTATTTATTATTGATTGTACATTTTGTTGGATGTACATTTTTATGTTAGAATAGAGACTGTCCTTGTAAATTTTCCTTGTTTTTATCTGCTTATATAAGTTTTTCTTTTGAAATATTACAATTAAGTATTATCAGTTTGATAACAGTGTAATTATATAGCAAATTAGCAATAATTACAAAACATTTGAGAAATTTTCCAAGTTTGAAATAAAACTTTTCATATTTTTACTTAAAATGTAAATGAAAATAAACAAAAAATTAAATATTTATTTGAGGATGATATACGTTTCTATTGTGTTTGAAATTGTTTAATTTTTATTGTTTCTGTTTCTAAATTTTGTGTTGCAGATACCGCGCAGTTGAATCTTATACGTGCGGCTATGAACGAGTATGAAAAGTATACGTGCATCCGGTTTG